CTGCATTCTGCCTGCTTCCTCTCTTGTCATCCCTTCCTCTGCAATCTGCCTGCTTCCTCTCTTGTCATCCCTTCCTCTGCAATCTGCCTGCTTCCTCTCTTGTCATCCCTTCCTCTGCAATCTGCCTGCTTCCTCTCTTGTCATCCCTTCCTCTGCAATCTGCCTGCTTCCTCTCTTCTCATCCCTTCCTCTGCAATCTGCCTGCTTCCTCTCTTGTCATCCCTTCCTCTGCAATCTCTCCACTCTAGGGAGGAGGAGGAGGGAAAAAAGAACAACAGGGATGGTTGAATGGGGGATTCTGGGAGTTGAAGTCCACCTGTCTTAAAGTTGCCACGTTTGGAGATCTCTGTACTGGGGTGTCTAACTTCCCTTCCTGTCCCCCCAGCGGCCCCCCTGAGAAGAAGATGGGCATCAAGGCGTCCAACACGGCCGAAGTCCACTTTGATAACGTCCGGGTGCCGGTGGAGAACGTTCTGGGCGCGCCAGGTGCTGGGTTCAAGGTGGCCATGAATATCCTGAACAACGGCCGCTTCGGCATGGCAGCCGCCATGGCAGGGACCATGCGGGCGCTTATCCACAAGGCAGTGAGTGGCTTTGGGGGCCCCCGCTTTCTTCTCAGGTGCCCCCCACCCCTTGAAGTTATCATCCAGAGTGTATTCCCTCCATCCCCTTATCCGGGCAGTCCTCGCTTTAACGACCGTGAGCGAGGCCCAGTTTTTCTGTGTCCCTAAACGAGACGGTTGTCCACTGAGTTTGCCCCGTTTTATGACCTTTCGTGCCAGGAATCATTGCTTTTGTGTGGTAATTCAGGCAGCCCTTCACTTACGACTGCAATAGAGCCCATAATTTCTGCCGGTAAGCGAGACGTTGGTCAAGTGAGTTTTGTCCCGTTTTACGACCTTGCTTGCCGAAGTTGTTCAGTGAATCACTGGGGTGGTTCAGTGAGTCCCACAGTCGTTAAGTGAAACCAGCTTCCCCGTTGACTTCACTTGGGAGGAAGGCCGCCAAAGGGGATTGTGTGACTCCCCCCCAGGGACGCTGCCACCGTCATAAATATGAGTCAGTTGCCAAGTGGCTGGGTTTTGATCATGTGACTGCAACGGTCGTAAGAGTGACAAATGGTCGTAAGTGTGAAAAACAGTTGTAAGTGTGAAAAACGGTCCTAAATCACTTGATTCAGTGCCCTTGTAACGCTAAACGATGAATGAACCGTTGCAAGTCGAGGACTAGCTCTTTCCCCGTCTAAACCCTACTCTCTTTTATCCCTTTCTCTCCCAAAGGTGGATTTTGCCGCCAATCGGACTCAGTTTGGGGAAAAAATCCACACTTTTGGAGCCATCCAGGAAAAGCTCGCCCGCATGGCGTTGTTCCACTACGTGACGGAGGTAGGCGCGTGCGCTCGCGCGGACAATCTGCAGGCGGGCTGGGTGGGCAAGTGTCAATTCTCAGGTCTGTGGGGTTCCCAACTAACTGGGCCGCCTTGAGGACTAGTATCTTAGAAAACAAATCCCCCGATACCGAAAAATTAGCGTGTAATAACGTAAAAACCCTTTTGGTGATACTTGTAGTCCTGGTCATAACGAATTGAGCCCTGAATTCCAGTCGTAAGTCGTGCTGGGCATTTAAGCGTGTCAATACGGAACAGCATCCATTTTTAGCCCTTCTTTTGCGCCCGTCTTTAAGAGAATTCATAGTCTTAGTGGGTATTTTGGGGGTGTGTTTTGGCCAGAAGGAGGAATTAGACAAGCAGTTTGTGGCAAAATCGTTTTTGAATATTTGTAATTTTTATGGTATTTTATTTGATGGTGTACAGGTTTTATATTGTATCCTTTTAATGTGGTAATAATATGGTAATGATACAGTAATAATTAATAATATAATTAATATAAATGAATATTTAATACTTGTATCCTTTTAATACCGTAAGATGCCCAGATTTGCCCTGTGGCAAGATGGACGGGCAATAAATTTAATAAACAAACTAAATAAATAAATAAAATTTTGCCCTGCGGCAAAATGGATGAGCAATAAATTTAATTAATTAATTAACTTAATAAATAAAAATTCTGCCCTGTGGCAAGATGGATGGGCAATAAATTTAATGAATAAATAAATAAAAGAAATTAAACAAACAAACAAATACAGTTTTAAAAGTCTTAAATTGTAGTCTGTAAACTGCAGGATGCTACAAACAGACCTAAGTTCAGCCTAATTGCTGAGTCTCCGAATTGTGACCGTGTGACAAGGGGCCTGGCCATAACTTCAAATCAAGTTCCTAAGTCGCCCCAAGCAGGACCGTCGTAACTTCAAACACTTGCTAAATGTTTGGTCGCAAGTGGAGGACTTACTAAATTTCTGCCCTGCCTGTCTCACCGATGCAGGAGGTTCTCGACTTACAACTGAGATTGAGCCCCAACCCTTCCGTTGCTAAGTGAGACATTGGTTCAGTGAGTTTTGCCTCATTTTACGACCTTTCCTGCCACCATCATTATGTGGATCACTGCCGTTGTTAAGTGAGGCACACAGTTCGTTAAGCGAATCCAGCTTCCCCATGGGGTCAGAAGGTCGCAAAAGGGGATCATACAGTGACCCAGGGGCACAACGACCGTCGTAAATGCGAGTCGGTGGCTAATTTTCCGCATTTCGATCATGTGGAGAGGCGACAATGGTCGTTAAGTGTGGAAAACAGTCCAAAGTCCCTTTTTTCCAGTGCCGTTGTAACTTCGGTCACTAAACGAATCGTTATAAGTCGAGGAGTATTGCGTATTTATTTTATTCCATTTCCACGCTGTCCGTCGCAGGAATAGGGCCCCTTCTGGACACCTATGCAGCATAATTAAAAAGATTTTAAAGCGCTAAAAAATATTTGTTCTTTTATGGTTATGAAACTATATTTTTGGAAAACATTTTAGTCCATGGCCTACATGATCAGCGCCAACATGGACCGGGGGGCTTCTGACTTCCAGATCGAGGCGGCCATCAGCAAAGTCTTTGGCTCGGTGAGTGCTGGCGGGGGGCCAGTGCAGTTAGGAATGAAAAGAGGGAAGGGGAAGGAGAGGAAAGAAGGAAGGAAAGGAGGGAGGGAGGGAGGGAAAGAGAAGAGGGAAGGGGAAGGAAGGAAGAACAGGGAAGGAGGAAGAAGGAAGAAAAGGAAGGAAGGAGAAGGAGAAAGGAGAGGAAGGAAGGAAGAACAGGGAAGGAGGAAGAAAAGGAAGGAAGGAGAAGAGGAAAGGAGAACAAGGAAGGAGAGGAAAGAAGGAAGGAGAACAGGGAAGGAGGTAAGGAGAAGAGGGAAGAAAGAAAGAAAAGGAAGGAAGAAGATGAAAGGAGAGGAAGGAAGGAAGAAGAGGGAAGGAGGAAGAAAAGGAAGGAAGGAGAA